CTCTCTACTGAATCACAAAGCGACTATGGGCAATATGAGAAAAACATTAGTTTTGGCAGCAATTTAGCTATGTTTTTTACGCAGCATACGTTCAAAATTGAAAAAAACTAAATAGAAAGTTGTGCAAAAGCAAAGCAAATATAACAATAAAGAAAAGCTCTAATAAAATGAGCAGAAGGAAGTATCCCCGCTTCCATAAAGCATATATATTCTTGATTAGCATCAAAAACCGAGTCAATTTAACCATTTACGTCTGTTTGGACAAGCCGATCTCATCCACTATAAGAGCTGGAGGCTTCTTTTAATTAATAAAGATAATTTCTTGCTCGTTTCATTTTATCGATGACAATCCACATTTCACGAATATCGATACATAGATTTCTTTGTATACTCCTATAGAGGATATTTTAATTTTGTTCTCAGATTTGCAACGCATTAAAGAAGACATCTTCGAACCCATATATATTGTATATGTAGTATTATTCTTCATTAGTCGATTCGATATATATGTTGCACATTTAAAAATTGATATCATATTTAAAAAACAAGTAATAAGCCAAGTAGGACACTATCTAATATCTTGTTTGCTCTGCTTAATTGAATTATTTACCAATCTAATTGGTGCGCTTCTGGAGAAATCTACAAGAGCTCTGAAAAGCATTTCACTATTGTTCTTTTATTTGGGATCCAGCGATCACTGAACACATTTGTTGAGTTTTTGGCCCAAAGAGCATTTGCATTTGCATTGTCCCTTGTCAAATAAGTGAGTAAGTCTGAGGGTGTTGCTAAGTACTTAGTAATGAATTTGCGCAACTTTTTTGAGCTACACTTTTTTTTTATAAACATGTGCTGCAAAAGTGGCGGTCGGTGCAGCCAACCAAATGCCACAGCTGGACGCTTGGCAAGTGGTAGGTGGCATGCGGGAAGGGGAAAGCGGGGGGGGGGGGGGGAAGGGGAGCGGCATCCGCTTGTGGCTGCGGCGGTCGCATGCTCTAAAAGCTAAAGAACCGCCGCAGCCATTGCCATGAGTCGTATCAATTAAGATACTCATGGGACGACAAAACCGAATGCATACAATTTACAAAGTGCCAAAACTTTTCCACGTACATATGTACGTGTATATGTACGGATATATGGATGCATCTAAGTATGTATGTATGTATGTATGTCTAATTGAATGTCATGCTGTCTGACTGTAGGCTGTGCAATATTGCGGTTTGGCTTATAGCTTACAGTTTATTAATGCACATTGCGTATTTGTTCTAAGAGTACCCAATGCGTGTCCGGGTGTCCTCGTGTCTGCTGTCCGTGTGTCTGGTGTCGTGCTGCACGTGGGCAAGTAGCTTATCATTTATAGTCGCTCGGTTCACGTTTCCAATTGCAGCCACATGCTGGGCAATTAATTTGCATTTCATTGATATGCACACTCACAGATACACACACACACACACACACACACACACACACACACACACACATACACACACGCATAGAGAAAGCCCTAGGCACCCGCGGTCAGACAGACAGCCCTTATTTTCCAATATTTGTTTAGGATTATTGTCGGTTATTAATGTTGCTGTAATTGAAAATTATTTTCACTTTTATGCTTATCATTCATTATCAGCGGCCATTACAACTGCCAACTGCCCAATTGGCAGTGTGCAACGTGCAACCAGCAATGTGGCATAATTCCACATTTAATGCATTCACAAACGCGTTTGCATTGCGCTATTATCACTGGGGAATTATTGTTAACCGTGATTTAAGCGCCCTTTTCATACCCTCACGGATGGGCATACAAACTTTTTGACGATGTGTGTAGCGCTACAAGGAACTACAAGAGTGAATAACGGTTAAGTTAGGTTATATTATGGCGGGCAGTGACAGAAGAAGTGCTGCACCGATTGAGGAAGCAGCTTCAATAATTGAGTTTGGGGCATTGTCTTGATAAAGTAAACCAGTTTATCACTTTTTAATCAACTTTGTATCCGAGCTGTTTTTGGGTTCCTCTCAATATATTTGATAAATGCACTTATCGCGCTTCTTATTATAGTATATTAACCTTAAGCTCATAATTGAATTTTTTTCCAATATATTATGATTAATTTGATGTCTTCGTTCTTTTATAATGATATAATCAACGATACAAAACACATGTATTAAATATTATGTTGAGAATATCCATTCGAATTTAATAAAAATAGGGAGGGTATTTTAAGAGTAGACACTCCGTTGCTAATTCCTGCTGCTTGTTTATTTTTATTTTGAGCACGCATCGTACATCATAATTATTTGCATACGCACACACACTAACACGCACACACAACACACACAAACACAAACACACACACACAACACACAAACTCACACACACACACACAATGCACACTTTACTGTATAAATATATATATTGTTAATATTTATGCTCTGCCCAATGCATATTTTGCCGTTTGTCAATTTGCATACATATACTTCCGCTTTATTTATTTATTTTTTCATGGTTTCATTTGTTGTTGTATTCATTATCTAAAAGAGCAGTTAATTGAACATGATTAAAGTGATGATTACAGCGGCCAGTTTAATACAAAATGGCTTTTTGTTAAGTGAAATTCGGTGGCAGCAAAACGGAATTCAGACTTCGATGCGCTTTTACATCATTATAACAATTCGATCAGCAGCATTTCCATTGTTTCAAATTTAAGTTTTTCACTTAACATCAATCTCAAAGAAGACGTAACACCAGCGATTTATTATTATTATTTTATAATGTCACCAATACAAAAGAAAGTATTAGATGATCGTATTTATTTTCTAAGCATTTTTCACTTGTATATTTACTCAATATATTTTATTTGGAATTGTTCAATTTTATAGAGAATCACTCCCCTTGTGAAAACTTAAGTTGCTCTAAGTTTTTTCCATTCAATTGGTTTTATGAAAAATGTTTTGTATTTATTATTATTAATATCAACTTTTAGGCTATATCCATAATAATTTATGTTAAAATATGTTTGTTATCATTTTTTCCCTAAACTAACAAAAATCTTGAGCAATGTTCAGTAAAATTTTAAAGACGCGTCTTGGTTTAAGAGAAAAAACCGTATTGAATTGAAACAATTTCATAAACTGTTGTTAATGCAAAAATATTGTATTAAAAAATAGCTCAAACTATTTAAAAATGACATTCACAGTAAATGGACGTAATTGTGAAATATTCAATTGCTGGGCCTCGGCACCTTCATCTGTTATAATTGCGTTAAATAATAAGATGATTGCGCTTGTACCATTGTTGGCATAGGGATCAGTTCATCCATTCAACTACAGGATCCGGGAGTTACTACGAACTTTGGACAACAGACACTACGGTTAATTAATTTGCCGATAAAATTCACCGTTGTCTTCATTTGCCGGTTGCTGCTGCTCATTTCATTTATTTATTTGCATGTGTGTTATTTATACGGCTTAATGCCAAAAGCAACGATACGGAATCCCAATCGTTGAGGACACACTGGACAATGACACTGCATTAAAAACAGCCATATGCTTTCGCCATTTCTCCTGTTCGGCATCTGAATTAACCCGAGTATATAAATATTTGGCGCCATCATACTATGGTACACATATGTACAAAATTAACTTGTTGTACTTGTACTTGTTCATTAAAGTGAGAGTGCAAACTGGTTAAAATCAGTTTTCTAAACAGAATTGGATATTAAGTTTGACCAGCCGTCAACCTTCCTGAATATGTTCATAAACTTTTGAAATTGGCGCACAGTTTATGATGGTTTTTTGATTTTGTTCAGTGTAAGCTTTGCCCAAGCACTGCCTTTTCCATTTATGGAATTTAATATAACAAATGTAGAATTTTAATATTAATATTGGATAATGAAGTACAATTGAAAAGTTAATGAGTATTTCATAAATTTAGTGGCCAACTGTTCTGCTTTTGACCATTGTCCGTTGGTTTATAAACTGGCAGTGTTAAGTTGGGCTCAAAAGTTAATTTTCAATAAGGTTGCTGGCCACCATTAATTAAAATTATTCAATCACAACTTAACATTGCCCAATGCATCGGTAGCTTTTATTATCTCCTTAATTGCATCAGTACTCAACCGATGAGAATATCACACGTGGGATATTAGTCCATGAGTGCCATGAATGTGACTTTTCACAAGTCTACAACAAACTCAAACTGATGTTATTTAGATTACTAATATTATACGTGGAATCTATTTTGTCGCCAAAATGCAATTAAAAAAAAAAACGCAAGAAATTCCATCAAATATTTCATCTCAGAGATGATGAAGATTACATAACCTTTCAGAACTGTTTCAGCTACTGATATCTTAATGTCATTAATCATTTTAGTACCGGCCTCATGTTCCTATGGAAGCTATTTGATTAATCAGATCAAGAGTTTATAATATCCAGATCGATAATTTTCAATGCGACATTATTGTAAAACCCTCTAAACGACTATTGATGTGAGATATCTTTTTTAGATAATAATTAACAATTAGATATCAGTCGGAATGTCAATTTAATGAATTTAACATTTCAACAATTAATGAAATAATTGAATTTGTTTGAATTGCCATTTTTAATTTGACTGACAAGCATCATATTTCTATTATGTGTATTAAAAACACACATGAGCAAACCTTCAGTATATCCTGAAAGTATACCACAAAAATTTGGTTATACCCAAAATACTATCCGCAAAGGGTGCAACAAAATGTTATAAATATTAAAGATCGGAGATCAGTTTCGCACAGCAAGAAATATACGAATATCGAAGAAGAACAAATTATAAAGTCAACTAATTAGCAATAATTATTAAAGAAACTAAGACATGCAACTTAAATCTTTCCTTTCCTAAACTAAAGGCTATTGTTGAATTTCCAGATATATACTTCAAAATCGCAACACACGGAGTTACTTAGAGGCAAACAAATTTGGATGATTTTAATAGGTTTGATTGCTTTTGCTTTTGGCTTTACCTTCGATGAGCGCCACAATCAACAGAACCACGATCAGCATTTTATCATTGCGATTGATGAGAACCAGATAATAGCGATGCAGATGTAGTTTTGAAATGATACACATTTGATATTATTCTATATACTTTGTATTTCGTTTTGATTTTCTTTTCTTTTTTTTTTCAAAAGTTGTTCATATATCGAGTCTGAGTGATGAACCAACTCTCAGACATTGGGGCAATTCCGGTTTCGATTCGAGAGCCCCAGAAAGCACAAAAACATTTTTCTCCACAACATTAGCACAATGTGCAGTCGAGTACATAAACAAAAAAAAATATAACACATACACACATAGCACACTGTCGATATTTGTTTAGATAATTAAAGGCAATATATGATAATTAGCGATTTGAAGCGATTTGCATTCCAAGAACCGTAAACACGCGCGTTCGAATTTGGAATGTGAATTAACTGTGTGTGTGCCAAAGAGTGCCCAGTGCAGCGTCAAATCAACTAGCCGATGGAAGCGTTGTTGATCAACTGAAAACGCATACGCCTCGCACACGTTCTCACACACAGGCCAGCATCCCGAAGTGTTTGACGAACGTTCGTTCGGCTATTTGGCGACACATCGTTGTCGGCGTTCGTTGGATGCTGGATGCTGGCCTCGGGCCGAGCTGCATTGCCGAACGGACGAGCTGCCAAACGTCGTTGCCAATTGTCGAAGTGGATTTTCGAAATGAACAGAATCCACCATGTGCCGCATGCCATCCACATGCCTGACACGTGGTGGAACGCAACACTTCTAGATGGCAGCGGCGAGGCGGCACGTGGACACAGTTCTCGGCACATGCGCAGCATGCTGCGAGGGAGGAGTGTCCACGCGTGCTTCTGACAAATGGTACGACAATTGCTACAAGCTGTGGTGGCATTTGGCGGCTTGCGTTTGCGGCAAGCAGCAACGCGGTTGGGCGCCTCTGTCGGCCTGCCTGCCTGCTTGCGAGCAACAACAACAACAGCAACAATATGCTTCGGCAAAATGCTTCGACTATTTTTTTGCCGGTCGGCTATCATAGAACTCATGGCCTAATCATCATGCCAAAGGTACGACTGTAGATGAAAGCCTGCCGCTTAGTGGTTGATTAACTGCCGCCAGTTGCTGTTGCCGTGATGCCTGATGCTAAGGCTGAGGATGACATCGCCAAGTCCCCTCCCTCACCAGTGCCCACAACACCCTGGCAACAACCAGCATCTAGATACCACTCATAATAAATGAAGGTCCCTTACAGATTAAACTGCAGCTGCAACTGCAATTGTCCGCCCAAATGGTAAATGCGTCAATCATACCAACCGAATGCCGAAAACTTTTATTTGCCCATAACTTGGCCAAACAGAAAGTTTTTAATGCGAATTGCATTTTGTAATCATCGCTGTGGGGAAGCATGCTAAAAGACGAAAGGACAAAAGAGAGAGATAGAGCCACCAGAGACATATAGATAGAGACCCTTACATACATATATAGGAATACAATTCATTGCGATAGCATCAGCAACATTATTTCATCATTTTCAATTTCCCAAATGTCTCCCAACACGAGACGATCAAACAAAAGCAACAAATATGACAAAAGCTGCAAAACTGAAAATTTAATTGAACTTCAAGTTTTGCGGCATTCAATCGCAGCCATAGACAATGACAAGGCCAAGAGAAGAACCCGAAAAATGTGTCCGTGGCCCAATCGAAAATCTGAAATTGTCTCCAAATGAAATTGAGCGCATAGCCCACAAAAGGAGCCGCATCAGAAAGCAGCAGCAGCAGCAGGAGCAGCAGCAGTGGCATCAACGTCTGCATCAGCAGCTGACAATTCAAAGTAAGGCTGTCAAACCTGTCGCAAAGTGGCTTAATTGTCCAATAGACGATAGACGTAAAGTTGGCCAAAATGTTGATGATAGGGGGGGAGCAGGGAGCGGGAAGCGTAGGAGAGATGTGTTGAGTTCGGGAGCAAAATAGCGGGATTAAACTTGTCAACGCGAACAGAAGCGAGTGTCAGTCATATTAAATTACGAATATAGTCGCATAGTCTCGACAGCTCGACCAAGTCTTTCTAAGATTCTGAGGGGTTAGTCTGAAGATTTTGGCAATAAATTTAACTCAATTACAAGTGAAACAAGTTTTGCTCACAGCTCACATCCCTTTTTCTGCGTTTTCATACCCACGCATGCATCTAATTATGCAATTATCCTGCAAATTTTGTCTAAATGCAATTGCAGCTGCTTGCTGGATTTTTTTCCTGTTTTTTTTTTTTTGTGTTTTTTTGTAAGAAAATCAAAGTGCGTATGGCAAACTTTGACAGCTCAAAATGCTGCAATTATGCCCAAGCACAAAAGGGTTTAACGCTGATAAGGATGGTTGCTGGAATTGTCGCATTAGTTCAAGCAAGACTCGAGCTGACAACAGCGCGTATGCTTCTCCAATAAAAAGTTACTGTGACAAAAGCATCAAAAATATAAAAATAAAAAAAAGTCGGAAAACCTTGAGCAAAAAAAGCAACAAACAAAAAAAAAACAAAAACAAGCCCAACAACCAACGAGCAGAACAAAGAAATCAAAACTTTTGTTTCTAAAACTCATGTTGAAATCCGCACACGTTTACACACACACACACACACGCACATACGCACACACACAGACATACACCCACACACAGGCTTGTGGGTGAATTTTGGATTTTGCAACATGAGCAACAACAACAGTAGGAAGACACATGCTGCAGCTATAATAAGTATGCAGCGGCAGCGCAAGTTGTTGCTTTCTTGGTTGTTAGGTGTTAAAACAGGCGGAAGCTAGAGGCCATGTCCTACTCGAAGACGAGTAACCCAACCAACCAACCCAATCCAATCCAACCCAACCCAACCTAGGCACAAACAAAGTCGCCGTCGTTGTCGCAGCCACTGCAGGTGCTGCTGCCTCAGCAGGTGAGGATGGGGCATGCTTTTGTGGCATGGGTGTATTTACGTGCACGTGTGTCCCAGACTCGTGTACTCACTACGTGTGCCAAACTGCTGGCTACAATGTGACAACATCTGTGTGTGTGTGCGTCTGTGTGTGTGTGTGTGTCACACATTTCAATTTGCATGTGTTAGCAGCAAACTTTTGATAAGTGTTACTTGTATTACTCGTACACATACACAACCAACCAACCAACAGACAGACAGACAGGCAGGGAGACATCTACGCACACACTTGCTGCAGAAATTGAAACTTATTGTCAAAAACTCTCATAGGCACACCCAACCAGACATATAAACATACTAGCATGCATACATCTATATATATTTGTATATATATATCAATAACTGGGAGTGCACATTGATACAATTACTTTTAGACACTACGTGCCACAGCCCATTTTCAAAACCAAAAATAAAATGGCTCAAAACAATAAGAAGAGTAAAAAAAAAAAATGCATATTGTAATAAATTTTATACTGATAGTAAATATACAATCTCATCTTCTTTAAAGTCAACAAAATATCATTTAACTTATATAAATTTAAAAAATACTAAGTTTGCTTATGATGACTTGTCAAGAAGAATGTTGTGAATATTGTCACCAATTAACTTTCTTTTTTTTTCCATAAATTCGAAAAATGTGTTGAAATAATAATAGTAATATTCATTTTTTTATTAAATGTCTACAAATATCAAATATCAGATAAATTCAAAACGCAAAAAATAAATGGAAATTGTAGGTCACACTCAAAGTCAGATCTGTATCTATATCTATGTGTCTCTATCTATATCTATATCTATATCTATATCTATATCTATATCTATATCTATATCTATATCTATATCTATATCTATATCTATATCTATATCTATATCTATATCTATATCTTTATCCATATCTATATATCTATATCTATATCTATATCTATATCTATATCTATATCTATATCTATATCTATATCTATATCTATATCTATATCTATATCTATATCTATATCTATATCTTTATCCATATCTATATATCTATATCTATATCTATATCTATATCTATATCTATATCTATATCTATATCTATATCTATATCTATATCTATATCTATATCTATATCTATATCTATATCTATATCTATATCTATATCTATATCTATATCTATATCTATATCTATATCTATATCTATATATCTATATACCTATATCTATATATATATAACTGTAGAAGTTCGACTTTGAGAAATTTTTGTCAAAAGAGGAAGTTTGGTCGAGTTGGCTTGGTAAGCCAAAGGGTATTTTATATAAGCGATCATCTTTCGACCGATTGTTCCTATAGCAGCTGTAAGCTATAGCGATACAAATGTTCGGTCGTTGCATGCATCATTAAGATTAAGACTTAAAGCAGTGCGACTAGTTGCCATGTAACTGAATATACCGACAGACGTACAAACCGTCATGGCTATATTGACATATGCTGATGAAAAACATATACCTATATAGTAGTTTCGGAGTAGTTTCGCCTCCCAAAAAAAATATAATTAAAAATATTGTCTATATAACAGAACATATTGCTTATCACTTCAAAAAAAATGAAAAATTTGTTGTTGTAAAGAAACTTTAAAAAACCTAAATAAATGTATAAAAAATGATGTAATTTACACTTGACCATGACGGGACTCGAACCCGCAACCTCCGGATTCGAAGTCCGACGCCATATCCATTAGGCTACACGGCCCCTGCATTCGGCGTAATCAAGAGGCTCCTATTAACTTTTGGCCAAAGCATTGCGTATAGAAAATGATAAAAACAAAGTGCGAAATAAAGCATTATGCAGGCAACGGAAATTTGTAGTCATTTTACGCTCTTATAAAATCATTTAAGTCTACTTATGTATTTTATTTCATTCAAAAGCTATCCAGACAAAACACATAATAATATAAATTTAATTAGTTGCAGCAAAACCAATAATAACAAAAAACTTTTAATCAAATGCAAGGATCATAAAGGCTGTTCCGCCATTGTCGGGAAGTGATTTACTTTACACATATTGTAAAGTAGTTCAAAAGAGAAAGAAAATTAGGCAGATATCATAAAGCTACAAAAAATCCAATTAAAGCTGCCACAAAAAAAAAAGAAAAAAAAAAAACTTGAAGCTTGTGAATA